GGTGATGGTGATGGTGATGTTGATAATGATGATGATGATGATGATGATGATGATGATGATGATGATGATGATACTATTCATGATGATCATGAAGATTGTGATGATTGTGGTGATGATGGTGAGAATGATGAGGGCAAGGAAGAGGAGAAGGGGGAGGAAGACAAGACAGAGGAAGGGGAGGAGGGGGAGCAGGGGGATGTTCAATTTGCTTAGAATTTATTTGCTGAACCAAAACCCTGCCAATCTGAATTAAATGCACTTGTGTTTGTGATGCCAGGTTTAGGATCGGTCTTCTTATTCACGTTATTTCAATGTTTATTTTCTGTTCAACAATAACAGGATTAATTCTTGAAAATCTATTAATAAATTTGAAATAATTACCAACTTATTATTTAAGCGGAAGAGATCACGTTTCTTTAAAAATAGACTTCCTGGATTTATAGAGGTAATTACTTTTAGGTATTATATTTATAACAGAATGTTAAAGTTTAGTTTACGGTCACTGGGAATCCCAATGCTCAGCATCTATTATAATTATGCTCAATCATAATTATGCTTTATTGCAAAACTGACGTACATGTAAGTACTTCTAATGTAGTTATTTGCTAATTACGAGAGTGTTTTTAATGATTTTTTCTGTTGTTCATGAACTATCATTAAATGTAAGATTCCCGCTCATCAGGCTAATTAGTTGTTTTACATCATATTAATATAAAATTCTGTCAGGGTTTTTGTGTTGGCTATTGACCGCGACCTCAACCTGCGAAACCTGGAAGTTTGTAAATGCATTGTGTATTCATCTCCACTGCTATGAATATATAATAGGTCTGCCCATTACTAGCCGTTTACGTTAATAATTACTGAAAAACATTAAAAAAAACCTGGGCCATTATAAGTACGATCCTACGGAGTTAGGACAAAGCCCACGCAGCGCAATTTGCTGGGATTCACAGGATTATATTTTTATAGACTAACGTTACATGACGAAGTCTGGACAAAAATTAATTATTCTTAGGGCGCTTTAGCTGAAGTTACATGGGACACAGTAGACCATGAACGCGCGGGATTATGTTTGATGCGCAGTAATTGTAGCGTTGATGACTCTTGGTAGGCCAGTTTAGATTTCATGAATAGCCTTGACTTAGCTTGCATCACTTTTGATCGCCATGCAAATTGTTTCTTCGGTGGCTTCACCGTTGATAAGCACGTACTCGTGCTCAGCTCAACTTTCTCCACGAAGATCCGCGCACAGATTGCTTACGTGTTCGCGGGGATTAGCGGAAATTTACCACATTATGGCATTAATAGGTTATCGCCATCGCCCGGTATCAATGGCTTAGGAAAAATTCTCGGAAATTCCCCGCTTCACCTTTTTTGTGGGTGAAAGTGAGTGTGGCGTCTGTAAATACTTCGTGCTGCCTGCGTGGTACTGTAAGATAAATTGATCATTGCGCCACTTACACAACACTGCTGCGTCCTAGATGCTGAATTGAAATTAAAACGTAAAACTCTATAATAATAATAATAATATAATAACATATTATTATATTTTGAATAATCTCTTGCGATACAATTGAAATTCACATTTAAATACTTTTATACATTCATCATCATTCATCATCAATCGTCGTCATCTTCATCGCTCATCGTCGATCTTCGCGCGTCGTCGTCGTCGTCTTGTCGTCAGTCCGTCGTCCGGTTCGTCGTCGTTCGTCGTCGTCGTCTGTCGTCGTCGTCGTCGTCGTCGTCGGTCGTCATCAATAATACGAGATTATTGATAATAACCACATTTATTTTGCCACGCGCCACAGTTCCCGTCGGAGAACGTCAAGGAGCGTTCGGCGCCGGCATGAACACGACGTGCTTCCGACCACATGGAGCCGAGCAATCGGAGTGCCAACCAAGAGTGCGCCTTCTCGTCGTCTGACGGTGACACTACGAGGACGGCCTCGACGCCTCATCAGCTAACTCGGCCCGACGAAGCGACACATCTGGCGGACGGGGCTCACGGTTTCTCACTACCAATGGACAAGTGTAAAGCCGCCGCTGCGGTGGCGTGCTGCTTCCTTCCTCCCTCCTCGAGTGTTCGATGGCGCGTGAGAATCTACTGATCGAAGGTGTGGGTGGGAAACCGCCCCCCCCCCAGCTCGCATGCGAGTTGGTGCTGTGCGTAGCGAGTGTGTGTGTGGGTCTGTGTGCGTACGCTGCGTTCGCTACATGCGAGTTATGTGCTCTGCTTGTGCGTACGTGCCGTGCGCGTTGTGGCGTGCGCTGCCCGTGCCGTGCGAGGTGTGTGTCGTGCGTACGTGCGCTGTGGTGATGCGATGTGTGCGTTGCCGTGCAGTGCGTGCGTCCGAGTGTGATTGTGTGTGTGTGTGTCTGTGTGCGTGCGTGCGTGCTATGCGTGCGTAGCGTGGCGCGCGCGCGTGTGTGTGTGTGTGAACCTCGTAAGCTGCACGCAACTCTGTATCGACATCTCAATTAACAGGGCTCTCTGAACAGTGACAAGGTAATTAACTGTGCAGGCATTGTAGCCGTGGCTAGTGTATTCGCGTTTCGGCACAGAGTCCCTACTGCAATGCATCATTTATTAATACATGTACATACGTACTCATAAATACAATCAAGAGCTTAGCATGTATGTATGACAGTGTACATACATACATTGTCATACATACATATACGTGACCCAGTCTGTGATATCCCGGCTACGCCAGAGCGAATTAAGAGAAATCTATTGTCTTAATCATCCCGGCGTGAAGCCAACAGATAATACGTCTAACACAGGTTTGCTTAACTCGACAACTTTAATTAACAATGGGTTGAATATAACGATATGTAGTACATATACAGGAACGGTTCAACTAATGACTAAGATTAGCGACAGCAAAATATTTGTAAATCGGATTCTTCTTATGAGTCTTGATCGTAGCCAGGCCTAGAGTCCAGTGTAGGTTGCTGACTCGAATTCCTGTCCTTTCCTGACGTTCCGAGGAAGCCGATGGGACATGTAGCTTTGAGTAGAGCTCAAGTTGTTACAGCTCTCTGGATTCGGTGATGATCGAACTCAGTACAGTTTAACTCAGTGCAGAACAATAGCCCGCAGTTACCACCTGACGATCCAAATGATGATGAACACGACTGTGTTTTTGTCGATACACAACTTCCGTAACGACTATGGTCTTATCACTTCACGACTATATTCTATTGCTTCACGAGTATGGACTATCTCCCCTCACGACTATGCATGCTGGCTTTATATAGTAACCATGAATACTCGACAAATCTATCAATTCCCAGAAGCTGCTACACGATGCTCGAGAGCTTTTATAAACAGCCCCGCAAACTCTCTCGAACTTTCTGGACTGTGTGCGTGAGTTACTTACATAGCTTCAGGCTTGTTGCTAAGCAACAACACGCCACACGTAACAATATATATCAAAGAGTCCATATTATGGACTCTTGATATATTATATATTATATATATATATAATATATATATATATATATATATATATATATATATAAATATATACATACAGACACATCTTGCGATAACGTGGAAATGTTCCATTCGTTTTCCAGTTAGGGAGTGTGTATGTGTGGGGTTTAGTTGGTACTTACGTGTAGCATGCAGGCGAGCAAAACTGTGCTCCAGCTTGATCAAAATTAATGAAGAGATCAAAATTAATCATGCATACACGTAACGGTACTTCATCAACGAAATTGCTGAAGACTTTAGCACTCGAATAAAAAACTCTCAAGCAAATTTGTCGTGTTTTTAATTAAGGTTACACGTGCAAATTTGTTGGACGGCTGTTGGTATTTAATTATCAACAGGTCCATCAATGTTGCTTGATAAATAAATGTGGACAGGCAACAGACGCTATTAGGGCCGATGTGGCAGGCAACGCGCTGATTTTCGTTTTAGCTAGAACAGCATTCGCATCTCGCGCGCTCGCGTCTGGTTGCCGGCACTACAGTAGCGATAACGTTGCCGTATACCGGGTCTGTAGAGGGGGCTATCGTGCAGCATCGTCCCACATGTCGTAGACATCAGTGACAGCAGGGCAGTGACAGCAGGGCAGTGACAGCAGGGCACAGTGACAGCAGGGCACAGTGACAGCAGGGCAGTGACAGCAGGGCACAGTGACAGCAGGGCACAGTGACAGCAGGGCAGTGACAGCAGGGCAGTGACAGCGGGGCACAGTGACAGCAGGGCACAGTGACAGCAGGTCATCGTGACAGCAGGGCAGTGACAGCAGGTCATCGTGACAGCAGGGCAGTGACAGCAGGGCACAGTGACAGCAGGGCACAGTGACAGCAGGGCAGTGACAGCAGGGCACAGTGACAGCAGGTCATCGTGACA